TCTCTTGGCATGGGAGTTCCTGGTATGAGCAGATCTCTACTGGCATGTGTGTGGTATCTAGGATACATGGGGCTCCAGTTTCCTGCCCAGTACCTTTCTTTAAACTCCAGACTGGGGCTGGCTAGATAGGCCAGCCAGCAAGTGAGGGATAAGACTGCAGTGGCTGTAGGACTCCCCCATCTCTTTTCTTCCTCATGCACTCCTAGAACAACTGGCAAGGTTGGGAGTAGAGACTATGCATGGTGCATCTTCCCCCTTCCCCCCCCCCTCCCCCCGCCAGTAGGACCTGATGGAAGACACAGATGGGAAGTACATTGGGAGGTACACCTGCACTGGAGCAGTTGCCTTAGGGACCACCAGCTGACTCAGGCCATGTCTACACTAGCCAGTTTGCAGCGGCACAGCTGTACTGATGCAGCTGTGCTGCTGTAAGATCGCTCATGTAGCTGCTCTTTGCTGATAGGAGAGAGCTCTCCCGTCAACATAATTAAAACACCTCCAACAAGCGGCGGTAGCTATATCAGCAGGAAAGTGTCTTCTGCCGACATAGCGCTGTCCACACTGGCATTTCTATCAGTATAACTTATGTCGCTCGGAAGGGTGGTTTTTTCACACCCCTGCGCGACATAAGTTATACTGACAAAAGTGCTAGTGTAGACATAGCCTCCCTTAAATCCAAAACATTTTAACAAGCAGGGTGGGTCTGTGAATCAATATTTTGCCTCCTCCCTCCCCAAACATAACTAATTCCTGTTCGCCACAGTCACATCATTATGAGTATGACTGGCCTGAGGATTTTGGTGAGGGTTAGCAAGGTGATTCTTCGACTTACACCTCAAAATTAAGAACTCATGTTACATTAAAAGGGAGGAAGGTGGAAGACCCAGCCTCGTACTGCAGAAATGAATCCTAACTGCCTGTTTCTTTTGAGCCTAGTTATCAATTTGCAGCAATTTACATTTTCAAGGCCACCCTCACAGGGGTATTGGAACCATTTTTATAGGGGGGTGCTGATGATGGAAACTATGTGTTTGGTGTTTTTTATTACTATGTCAAGCCAGGGGGTGAAGCAGCACCCCTAGTTCCAGCACAACTGACCTTCACTAATACAAAGGCTAATTTTTTAAACAAATTCTGATTTTCCCCTTTGTGGAAGCATTCTCTGACACCTTCATGAAGCTCAAAGGCCAAGCTCTGTTAACAAAAGGCTCACATAAACTCCCATCAACCGCCTCCAGTTGATCACTGGTATGACAAAGGACAAAATTTGGCCCACTGTCTTTAAAGCACTTGGTAACGAAAGGCACTGTGTAAAATATTTTCATAATGGAAACTAACTTGAAATCTTAATGATTGTGGTTGCTATCACTCCTGTTATAATTAACAGCATGTGTATTAGAGCTTAATACTGTACGTGATTAAACTAGCTCACAGAGGAAAGCTGTGTATGGGGTTTTTTTTACCAGAGGGCAGAGGATATGTCTTCCAATTTGTTCTTTTAATCTCTATATTTAATTTTTGAGGGAGCTGACAAAAATATATACAAACAGAAAGAAAACAATACTGAGACAAATATTCTCACATTTTTTCAGTAAATGCACTGTGAAGATAATAGTTACAAGAAACATCATGAATATAATTTTACTTAAAATATACCATTGCAAATTTACCTAGATTAGCAACTAACGTTTCCCAGATTAATTATTTTTACCTTAAAAGGGGGTCTAAAAAAAGAACTAAACCTCTATGTACTAGATTTCTTGCAACCTGAGCTCTCTTGAATTATCTGTCACTTACAAGGGTTCATTATCGAAGTACTGTACAGGGTTTTAGCTGTAAAACATCAAGACATTTGTCTGGACTGTGGAAGAGATTTTATGATGTTTTGGATTTTATTTTAGTGCAATGCTGTGAAGAAAAATATTTTTAAAGGGGAAAATAAGAACTTTGGTGTCACTTTCTTAGTGCCTTGGATCTAGATGGATCATCTAATGCTGTGATCTGTTTGCTCTTTTGGCTGCATCTCTCGTCTAACATTCTGAGGTATAGTATTTACTATATATTTATCATGAGCTACATGGACTCCAAGCAGCATACCAAATAATTTTCCACTATCATGCAATTTGGGGAAATTTAATCTTTTTTTCTTGTCTATCTTTGTGCTGCAAACAGAAAGCCTGTGCTTCCTCCACACCCACTCCCTTTGCCAATAACCTCATTGTAACTTCCTGTCAGTTTCACACACTCAGTGTTGAACTTCCTCTGAGCAAGAGCTTTATCTGAACACCATATTAACCATTTGCTTACTTAGTATTTCCCATAAATATAAATAATTTATTCTTAACATTTAAGCCTTTAAATACATTTTTATTCAAAGAGAGAACACTTGTGGCTTTAGGAAAAAAAGGCATTTTATATTATTCAGTATAAAACTAATATGAATGGGGAGAGAAGGCTCAAGAAAGGTCATAGTTCCTTCAACTTTAATGTGTCCACTGCCTGGAGGGTAATGATAGGTTGTAAGGGTTGGGAGGCTTAATAAGGCATGTCCAGAGTAATAATATTTTGTGTTTATATGATACCAATTGTCCAAGGATCTCAAAGCACTTTACAAATGTGGGTAACAATTAGGGGTCTATGCATTTGTTTTAATTTGTAATTTAATTAATGGAGATATCCCATCTCCTAGAACTGGAAGGGACCTTGAAAGGTCATTGAGTCCAGCCCCCTGCCTTCACTAGCAGGACCAAGTACTGATTTTGTCCC